GGTGGCAAAGAGGTGCTGGACTGGGCCATCCCCACCGTGCTGGAGAGGCACTCGGCCGCGCGGGTGAGCGACGGGGCTGAGGGCATCCCGGGAAGGGCTTGGTGAGAAAACTGCGGGGAAATACGGTCTCTGCCCGGCGTTATTTCTTCCTGCTGGCTCCGGGTTCATTTGGCCTGGCTGAGTCTTTGACAGCCCCCACCCCTGTGGGGGCTTTTTCTGGTTAGAAACATCTCTGCAGCCAGGATAGGAAAGTGCATTAAGGGGAAAAAAAAATAAAATACAACCACCTGCAGGAAAGCACTTGGAAAACTGTGGGGAGGCTGAGCCTGGTTCCAGGGGGTGCATTAGGGCTCAGGTCACTATTACTTGAGCCCTCAAGGTGGTTTGTGAAAAGATTTAAGTGCGAGAGCACGGGGTGGTGAGAAAAAGAGCAGCACAGAGAAAACTCCTTGAAAACGCTGTGCTTGGCTGCACTTCATCACCTCTGCTTTTGAATAATCTCTCTCTTGTAAGTGTCTTATTAAAAAGAGAGCTCAGGCGCTGTGATGATCGGGGCTTCTTCCCCCTCCATCCCCCATCCAGGAGGTTTTATTTGATGTGAAGGAAACAGAAGTCCTGGTACGGGAGAAGACTTCTCCCAAGGTAAGCGAGCGACACCCAAGGTCCGAGTGACTCCCGAGGCTGCCGATCTTGCGGCGCGGGGAGCCCGGCTGGAGGCGTCGTGGGGCCAGTTTAAACCAGGAGCGGGGACACCGGGGACTGACTGCAGCCCCCAACGCCGTCTCCCTCCTGTCCCCTGCGCAGATCCTGTGCCGCTACCCCTACCCCACGATCTCCTGCGTGGGACGCTGCGTGGACAGCAGCAATTTATTCGCCTTCTGCGTGGCGTAAGTGCTGCCCGTGGGCCCTGGGAGAGGGAACATAGAGGGCTGCGGGTCTTCGAAAATAAACAAGCAACGTCCAGGCGTGCAGTTGCAAGCCAGGGCCGAGCTTTCAGAGCCGCTCTCTCTGCCGGCTAATGTACGTGTTTCCATTTTTAGCGCTTCCCCGGAGAGCCCTGACGGGAGCACGTTCGACTGCCTGGTGTTTGCATCGAGTTCTGAGCAAGAATGCGAGGAAATCATCAGGCGAATCGGTAAGGGAATGGTTTATGTCACCACAGCGAGATCATGGAATACCAAGAGTCGCTATACTGGTCCACCACATGCAGGATCTAACTTAATTTTATTTTGTTGAGGGTCGGTCTCTTTTCCCAGGTAACAAGTGATAGGACAAGAGGAAATGGCCTCAAGTTGCACCGGGGAGGGTTGGTTTGGTTTAAGAACTGCTAGACAATGATTTTATTTTAAGAAACAGCTTCTAGGCATACCCAGACGGTTCATTGTTTCCACTAAGAACTTGGAGGAAACATTGTTTTCGAGGGATGTTATTTTAAAACATACTTTTCCCGCAGGAGCCCAGCCTGCTACCGCAGTTTAGCACCGAAGCAAGCATTCATAAAGCCCATCACTTGGAATTGTTGTTTTTTAACCTAAATGCAAGCTGCGTGGTGTTTCCCAAAGTACGTGGCTCCTGGGCCACTGCGGACCCTCAGGTTTCTTGCGGGGACATCCCTGCCAGCTGTCCCCCAACTTGCGGCGCCCCCCCCGCCCCCTCCCCCCCCCCCCCGACAGGCTGTACCCCCCAGGACAGACCTGCCCGGGTGATCTACCTGAGATCACTTAGCGTCGGCTAAAGTTTGAGATGGCGCTTAACTCTGATCCAGGCCTTTAAAGCAATTAAGTTTACAATGGGTGCAAGGATATCTTTTTTTCCTACAGGTTTAGCAGCAGGGAAAATACTTGTTTAAAAACCTGATCTTGCATCATTTTAGAATGTGTTTTTGGCAGCCCCGTGGCAGATACGGTAACGGCATTAGCCGGGGGCTGCGTTTGTCCCAAGCACGCTTGGAGCGGCGTAGGAAAGGGCGTTGAGGAAGTTGTGTAAGAGCGCCTGGTAAGGAGCGCCTCTTCCTCCAGCTGCAGGATTTAAGCACACGGAGTGGTTCGTCTGATAAGGGAGAGCCCCGGCCCCAGCCCCGAGCCCCAGCGGGCCCAGCCTTCGCCCGCGACACGGCCGTCCGGCAGCACCCCGAGCGACGCAGGCCCCGACTCCCGGGAGCAGGAGTCGGGATGGGTTTCAAAGTGCTGTTCTGGCCCTTGCTGTGGAAGGAGGTGCTGTGAACACGTCCGGTCTTCAAACAACGGCGCAGACGGCCAGCGCCGACTTCCCGCCCGCTCTCCCGTATGAACTGCTGCTGTTCTTCCTCCTGAAACGCCACTTCTGCCACGGCACTTCTAATTTCACTGAAATAAATCAAGATGAGCTAGCCAAACTACTTCCCTGTGCTACTCTTCCGTGCCAACGCCAGCCTTACCAGTGCAGCCTGTTCTTTAAGAGCTGAGGAGAGCCGGCCTCGCAATTCAATTTAAATGTTAATTACCTGTGCTTCAGCTGTAGTCTGAGCAGCTTCCCTCTACCCCAACCTAACAAGGTATGGCTGCTCCCAGAGGCACTGCCGAGAAAACCAGACCCGTCTCAGCAGCGCGCCCGAAGCGCTGTTCCAAAGTGGAGGCTCGAGTATAATCCTGTTTCATCAAAAAAGCTTAGATGGGAAATGAGAATCTTATTGAGCGCCCATCCCAGTTTGCTTAGCAGCCCATATGCTCCCAGGTATAATTAGCTTTTCCACTTGCATACCATCCCGCGCTGCTAGCGCTGGCTGCTGTTATTAACCGGGTCTTAGTCATGCGGCCCCATCCCACAGAAACTCACGGGCCGCAGCCGCGCACCCCCCCACCTCGGCACCCAGACACCGCTCAGGGAAGGAGCTGGCGCTTTGGCTTCGGGCAGACCGGTCACACCGGAACAAACTTCCCCTGCATCTACTGGAGAGAGGGGAAAAAAAAAAAGCTTAGTTCTAGAGTTGTGCCTGAACGGCAGACACCAGCAAGCAGTTAAGCTTTATTAAGAAAAAAAAAAAGCAAGCCCAAAGCCCCCCCAAAGGTGGAAGGCTGCTGCCTAGCCTAGGCCTGTCCGTCAGGCTGTTCCTCCTCTACCCCACAGCTGCAGGGCTCAGCTCTCGCTGGCCGAGAGCCACGACTCAAGCTACAGAAAGCCTCCAAAAACCTCCGAGGGTGGCCGGGGGCAAGTTCTCCAGACAAAATTAAGTTGCCACAGCAGCAGTCCAGGCTTACAGGCATCTACTGCTGACCTGCTGGAGCCAGGAGGAGGAAGCTTCTTCAGGCCCATACAAACCAAATGACAAAGACTCCTCAACATGTGAATGTAAAACATTTAATTTAAAAATGTTGACACTACAATATATAAAATAGCTATTATAAATGCACATAGTGTATTCTATAGCTGCCAGGTTTACGTTTTTAGGAAACTGTAAGTTACACTGTGGTTAAGACTTGTAGTTTCACCCTCTGAAAAAGTCCACATTTGATCACAGTGATGTATGGTCAGACTAACAGCCCCAATTGTTAAACACTTGGATCAAGTCATAACCAGTTTTATTGCAAAAGGACCCTGTACACATTTATATCAATTCTAGTACCTTACAAGTTTAGCTACCCAACAAGTCATTAACATACAGAAACATGCATGAGAAGCAAGAAAGATCACCCATCCCTTCTGCATATTAGCAACTTGTCACTCCTGAGCAACGAGGCTCACATCACTGAGGTTTATGTGAACAGTCACTTTTAGCATTCATCCTGAGTGAAAGATGGAATGACTTAAGTACAAATGCAACATATTATAAACAATTTCTTACAAAAAAGTCACAAATTAAAACCAAAGTATTTTACAGAATTTACTACAAAACACCGTAAAAACAGCCTTCACTTAAGCCCTCTCCCCCCGTATCCTGCGAGC